TTTCCTTGGCTTCTCACCCGTATATATATATATATATATATATATATATATAAATACACTATTTGAAAAGGATTGCTGTTCAAGTATTAGTTTGTAAAATATTTTTTATTTTAATTAAAAACCTAAATGTTTTAATATAATCTATACTTTTGTAGATATATTTTTTGGTAATGACTTGAAGAGAGTTAATTTTAGTACTTGTAAATTTGGTCTAGATCAAACACATATATCTAGAAATTTGAAATGTACTTTCATGAATGAGTTTTGCTTGCACTAGAATGTCATAAATATAGATAAATGGTTCATGTGGTTTTTTTTTTCATATCAAGTGTAATACAGTTCATCAAAATCATCAGTTAGTAATCACAGTTAACTGATTGCTTTGTTTGTCCACATCAGTATTGTTACCAGTTTCCTGAAATTATACACTATATATTTGCTGTCTCTAGTTGTAAAATGTTGCCACTGTATTCAGGAGAAATAAAGGTAATTTCCTGTTTGTGTGTGTGTGTGTGTGTGTGTGTGTGTGTGTACCTGGTGGTGTCCCCACAAGGATAGTAATACCAGTCTTTTTTTGTGACTGAATCTTGTGGGGATTTTATTATTTATTGTTTTGGTCCCCATGAGGAAACAAGCTTATAAATCATACAGATAGTCTGAAAAAAAAAAAGATAAAATCTAAATAGAGTAGGGTTAGGGTAAGGGTAAGTACAGTTTGTACAGTATAAAAACTATTACGTCTGTGGAATGTCCCCATAAGACATGGAAACCCAGCGCGCGCGCGTGTGTGTGTGTGTGTGTATACTGTGTGATAAAGGACTTAAATACTTTAATATATGAGCACAAACCTTTTAATAACAACAACAACAAAAAGATGTGCAGAATTCAGCACGTCAAAATATTAGTGGAAAACCTCTATAATATAAGTTTTACGGAGCTTCTCGGAGTTACAGAGTATACTCACAACAGAAAAACAATGTGGATCAGAAATATTGAATGGAAAGTACAATGCGAAAG